TATCCATATTGGGAGGCGAAGGGTCCGAAACAAAACCTAAGTCTTCAACTGCTCTCAAGATGCCCCTCTCTCTATCTGATGATACCTCAACAATACCAGGAGCCTTTGTTCCACAGAAATGTTGAAGACCCTTCATTGCTTCTTCCCCACTCCGCTCATCGGATGGAAAAACACCAATCAAACCCGAAAACCTGTCAACTAGGACCAACGCAACTTTATCCCCAGTTTGCCCCACCAAGTCTCTTGCAATGACAAAATCCACTGCAATTCTCTCCAGAGGAGCCGTCGGATCCTCAGCCTCTCTTGCCTGTCTCAGAACCTCACGCTGGTTTCCCCGACGCCTGTGAGGCGCCTCATACAGTTTGGCTTGACGACACGTGTCACACAAATGACTCTTCGGAAGGTGGGTCAGAAGATGATTGGGAGGTAAGTTTTCTACCCAAATTTCATCATCCGCACGCCCTTCCTCCTCCTCCCTCCCGTCCGCGCTATGCGCAGGTACGGCTTCTGGAGGACTTACTTCTTCCACTTTACCGTTCACATCCGGACCCCCTTCAGCGTCCGCGCGATGCGCAGGTACAGCTTCCAGAGATGCCGGAGGAGCAGGTGAGTCAGTGGCGCCGTCGATCCCCCCCATTAAAAAACCATGGTGGGGAGACCATATTGCAAGGAACGCTGCAACCGAAAAATGGGCACGTGATGGTCGATGCGATGAGCTTGAACACATTCTCCTTCAGGACTCTGGAGCCAAGGGAGCTGTGAGGGCTCCCAATGAAAACTGAAACCGGCAGTCTGAACCAAGTGACCTATGGAAAGCACCAAGGGACAATCATCCAGCAAATAAATGTTGTTGATCCTATCAAATTCCTGCGACCAAAGCCCAACTGATGTAGTAGCAGGTTGGGGGCCCCCCCCAGTCGTGAACCGCAAGGGATAGCTAGAAGTTCCCGACCATGAGGCCAATTCCTCAGCCTGCACGCCTTGACGACGCAAAGCCTTGGAACTTCCCAGCCATTCCCCAGCACCTGTATCGCCAACAAATTCCAAAAAAATGGTTGTGAGATGGAGCCGGAAGAGTGCAGCAGTGATTGAAGCAGCCAACAAAGCCACCATACCAGGTCTGGTGGGAGAAGGCTTGGGCTTGGGGTTGGTAGTCTTGGGGGCAGGCTTTGATTTGGCATTGGGATCATGTTTGAACGGGCATTTCTCGCGGAAACACTTACCTTGGGCAAAGTAAATGCAAGGCATTTCAGCTTTCTGTGTTGCAGTCAACTCGGGGGGTTTTAGCCGTGGTCGGCTTTGAAGTTTGCTTTGATTTGCCCTTTCCGTCCTTGTCACCTTTCCCTGGCTTGCCCTTTCCTTTACCATCCTTTCCACCTTTAGAGGCAGGCAACCCAGACGATTCCTGAACTGAATGAGGCTTTTTGGAAGGACCTTTCCTCAGAGCCTCCTGAATGCTGAGCGCGTTGGCTTCCTGCTGAGACTCATGGAGACACTGCTCCAACTTTCCCCATAACCAATCGAAAGTCAAACATTCCGACCCAGGAGGAGCGTCGCGCACCTTGTCAACATGCCTGCGCATGAGTGGATGCTTCTTGACACGGTCATACAACCACTTGGCTAGGAGTCTAGGTTCTGGACGATCAGCAGGACCTATCTGGTTGCGTACGTAATTCACCTTGTCCCTCCATTGGCGAAGGGAAGCGACATTGTCTTGCGGAGGGGGAAGGTTGTACAGTTCCAACGCAGTCATGATGGCACCTGCGTTTTGATCAGTGTCGAACTCACGATAAACCAGGTTCAACATAACCCGACCCCGAACCTCATGACCATTCAACTCACACTCCTCCAAATATGAGTTGAACCGAACACCAAAGTGAGATCTAAGATGCTCTGGTTTACATAGTGCAGCGGCTAAGACCCTGTCAAAACGTGGAAAATCCCCAGAAGACGACTGTAGAGCATGTTTCTCTGTTGCTGATCGGGCATTGATAGTTTCGGAAAGCCATCGCATGAGGGATCCATCAGATGAACGATCATAACTCATCAGTAGAGTCCTCAAAGAGTTCTTCCATTGCCTGAAAGCACCTGCATCACTAGGAAGGGTAGGTACCTTGAAGTAATGCAAATCCTTAACACGTAGAATGGCAGATTCAAGATCATCTCCGCTTCCACTGGCCTTACTGTGAGCGTTGGACGCTTGATCCTGATCTTTGACCTCCTCTGCATGACCTTCCGCATCATGAAACAAACGAAACTCCTCAACTCCTTTGGGTGTAGTTCCGTTTGGCGTCTGGAACCCCCTTTTTGAGGAGATGTTTCACCAACACCCTGTTCCCACCAAAAGTCTTGCTTCAGGGTTTGCACTTCAGCATGAAGGTTCTGAAACATATCCCTGTCCTCCAAAATGTCTCCAACAAGTTTGTCAAATCTAGAGTTCAACCTCGAAATGTTTTGCTCTGAGGATTCCAACCTAGAGTTCCAAGACGTGAGAAACACGTTCTTCAATGATGTCAATCCCTCTTCAATTAGTTTGATCCTATGTTCAAACTGGACTGTCAAATCTCCCGCAGCATTTTGACCTGGTTGACTCACAAGGGCGCTCCTCAATCGATCTATTTCTGTCATGCATTCTTCCAACCTTGAGTTCAAAAACTTCTCTCTTTCAGCAGCCAGACTTAAGGCAGCATCCCTGGCAGTCAGCTCAGCCTTCAGTTGGTTGACTTGGGATTGAAATTGCGCATTGTTTTCTAGCACGTGGGCTCTTGCTTCCAAAATCGCATGCGCTGCTTCGGTTCTAGCCCCCGTTACAGCTTCAGCCGCTTGGGCCATCACAGAGGGTTCCAATGATGGGGGGGCAACATACTGGTTTACAGTTTGGTGGATCTGTCGATCATCCTGAAAATTCTGAAAGGTTTGGTGATGATGAACTTGCCGGCAATCCTGAGCTCCTTGCCCAGGACTCTCACTAAGCCCCGAACCAGATGGCATTGCACTAGGCTCCAGGCTTTCCAAACGCTCACAAACTTCCATCCCTGCTGATGGGTTCCCATCTCCCATTTCAAGCACTTCTTTGCGTTCCATCATTTCTTTCCAACTGAGCCGACCCTCTACAACACTCCCTATCCGCCCAGAGGGGACGCCCGCGCTTTGCGCTGGTGCGCCCTTTGTGGAAGGATAAGGACTAGGCTTACGAACCTTTCCCTTTTTGGGGGTCCCTGAAGATGATGAACTGCGACTAGGAGCCCGTGAACTCAAAATGGCTGGCACCCCATCAACAGATGAACTCAATGAAAACTCAGGACTAGAAGATGAAACCATCAACCGCAAAACCACCCAAAGAACTTATCCCAACTGAAATCAAAATCTGCCAAGCTTTTGCAAGACGCAATTTGATCAAGGGATGGGAAACTGCTCTGCCCAAGATGGAGAATCTGCAACCGGAAGGAAGCGGGATTGCTCAATGTAGTCGGCAAACTCCGCAAAGGATCTCACGTGATACAAATTCCGATCTTTTGGGCGATGTTCTGCTTCAAAATAGACGTCTGTTCCCTGGGATGCAGCAATAGTTTCACGACAGGTCCTCAACTTGTCGTTCACAAAAGCAGCAGTTTTCAACCGGCTCACAATCCCAGCTTTTTGGGAAGGGTTGTCGCAAAAGTGAAGCCCGACTTGTTTCGAACACCCTTGCGTTGTGACAAATTGGTTCAAATCTCTTATTGATGCCACTGCCTGGGATCTCAAGCGGTATGAGTCCGCACCAATGTAAGAAAGAACTGCCACTTGGCGATGTCCGAGATTCAAGAGCTTGACAATTGCCTGTTTGTTGATCAATGGGATCTCACCAGATGTTTCCTCTCGCTTCCCGTCACGACTGTACTTTAGGAATTCAGCACAGTCCAAGACACCGTGCAAATCGGTCACGATCAACACGCGAGAAGGTGGCGGCCCTCTGGTCAGATTTGATGGCCCAACTCTGGGCCTCAAAGGCTCACCCCGAGTGTCACGTGAGAGTTCACCTGGATGAGGAGAGCGATGGCTACTGGTGATCAACCTCGCCGACGACAAAGGTTCTGCAACTTGTTCGGGCCTGGATTCAGTGAAAGCTTGCTCGTTTGAGGCGGGCTTCACTTGAGATCCTGATGCCGAGCTACTTGGGAGTTCCCGCGGCTCTACTTCAGCGCTTGCAGGATGAGGAAGTTCTCGGAGTTGAGAACCGTATTGAGGTACTTGTGGAAAGTCTTTCTTTGGTTGATACTCACCCCGTTCAGTCCTCGCCCGAAGGCTTTTCTGAGCTTTGACTTTCTGGCCACCTCTTTCACCCCTTGGACGCTTAATTTTGCTGACCTTTTGGAGTAGCTTTTCAGCTAGCAAACAGTGCACCTCCGGTAAGCGTCACTGATAGCGCTGTTGCCCCTTCCGCAAGGATTTGGACTATGGCGCGAGCTTCCAAGGCTCTTAACCCAATAAATCAGCAGACACACCTTGTTTATGTCTTGAGCCAAATAAGTTTGTCATGGGTTTTTATACCCTGTAGGTGAACTGTACATGTAGGGTTTAACCCAAAACGTTTCACGTCATAGAGAAGTCTCGCTTGCAGAAGCACTGGCATAGAGACATCAATGATGAACACAGCTTGTTGAAACAGGTCCATCTTGCATCGTTTGCATCACAAACTGACCAAAAGATACCAAAAGTATCCAAAAATTGCCTCCACCAAAAACTAAAAGCACCAGCCAGCAGGCTCCTATGATTAGGCACACAAAGTCGCGTCTGCCCCACACTGCCAACTTCAGCCTGGCCTATCGGCTGGCTTTCGTAAAATCCCGACGAAAGAATCGTAACACAAAAGACTGACTAAGACACTTGTCTATAGTTTTTTGTAGGCAAGTGGTGCAGGATGTTTCATTGTGCTTCAACACTCATGAGCAAATGGTGAATGGCGATTGCGCACGCAAATGAACTGGCCCCGCCCTGGAGCATGGAAATAAGCCGGTCTCCTCGCTCGCATCGCCTCAAAGCACCATGGAGACTTGGTGGGTTTTGATCATACCCAATGTAGCTACTAGGAACAAGTGCATCGCTTCTAGTAACAAGTGCCTTACTAGTAGTAACAAGAAGCTATTAGAAACAGAATTAGAAACAATAAGCTATATGGAGACTTGGTGGTAGACCCCGGGAATCTGAGCCCGAAACTGGGCAGTCGATGTTTCCCGAACCTTTCAGGGTCTCCCCCCCTGCGAGCGCGAGGTCTAAGGTCTTCCTATTTGAGCTACTAGATGCATGCAGAATGTCTTGCAAACTACAAGAATTGACGATCTGCTGGGTCTGTGGTGCTTGTTATATGCCTTCGGAATCCTTCGGATCATTTGGTGAGATTGTTTTTGCCTCGAGTGAACTTGCACTTTGCCCAGATATCTCCAACATACAACCTCTTGGTGCTCCGTGAATACTACTCGCCCGCTTGTCGGGGCCTCCCAAAGAACCATTCTCAAAACAAAAGCTGCCGCCTCCAGACTTGAGATCTTTTGAGAGTATTAGTTCCTATTTGTACTCGATCTCATGAAAGGGGATCTTGGGTCTCCACCTCCACAGACATCACTTGGAGACGGGCCATTGGAAACAGCACATCGCTGCAGCACATCGCCCAGTCCAGCGCCCGGAGCCCTGATTCCGAGCCTTCCGGATCCGCCTCACTCGCCGTCTCGCTGCTCACCTTGACAGACACCAACGTAAGACCGGTGCCCGGAGTGCCACGAGGCACATCCAGTGCCAACAGAGGTTGAGAGACCAGAACTAAGACCCCTTTTTGGTGTACATGATGGGAAGGGCGAGAAAAAAAAATAAAAGCGTTTTCTTCAACCGCTCTGGGTGATGAACATCCACATCTCAGAGGAAAACGATCGTGATGGACTTGAGTTGTGGCAATTTTCGCGACTGACAGGACCTGAGCCTGGCAAGCGAATGCAGGCGACAGGCTCCCATCAGTGATCAAACCACACAAAAATGCGCTAACCTTCGTTCCAACACCCTCCGGGAGCTCCGAAACTCGGAGCTGCGCGACCCGCCTCCACCGGCGCCTCCACCAGTTGCAGGTCGGTCACCGTCTGAAGCACCGCGCAGGGACCGAGGTTCTCGCAACTTGGGGATGGCATGGTATTTACCATGAATATTGATGGTCCATGGCTTAATTCAATATGTTGGATTGTGGATTTCATATGATGTCATATGTTTTTCCACCTTTTCTAGCAAAACATCCCACACCAAAGGATCCTTCTTGCGCCGCCGGGATCCATTCTTCCGCGCCTCCAGTGCTTGCAGCGCCAGCTCGGGCGGTGGCCCCGGGGGCGCGACGACCGGCAGCTCCGCGGGAGGGGCCGGCGCAAAGCTCAAAGGTTGGATCCCTCCGACGATGCGCAGATGGTGGTGGCACGAAGTGGAAAAAGGTTGCCCAAGTTCAAAATTATAGGATCGGATAACCAGACACAGGAGCGGACAATTGGTGGTTGGTGGGTGACACTGGGTTGCTGGCAATTGGTTGGTGGCAGTTTGTTGGTGGCAAGAGAGCAGCAAGTACCGTGCCTGCCACGCAAATCACACCGGCAGAGGCGCGGCGACCCAGCGACCCCAGGGCGTATATCCGACCCCTTGGAGAGCACCAACGAACCGCGCCTGCCACGCAAATCACACCGGCAAAGCTGCGGCGACCAAGCGACCCCAGGGCATACATCCGACGTGGTGACAATTAGTTGGTGGCAATTGGTTGGTAGCAATTGGTGGATGGCAATTGGTTGGTGACAATTGGTGGGTGGCAATTGGTTGATGACACTTGGTTGGTGACAAGTGATTGGTGGCAATTGGTTGATGACAATTGGTGGGTGGCAATTGGTTGATGACAATTGGTGGGTGGCAATTGGTTGGTGACAACTGGTTGGCAGTATTTGGTGGGTGGCAACTCGTGGATGGCAATTGGTTGGCGACAATTGGTTGGTGACAATTGGTTGGTAGCAATTGGTGGGTGGTAACTGGTTGGTGGCAATTGGTTGGTGACAATTGGTTGGTGACAATTGGTTGACGACAATTGGTTGGTGACAATTGGTTGATGACAACGCGGTTGATGACAATTGATTGGTGAGTGACAATTGGTGGAGGTGCGGAGCGAGGAGGAGGAGCGAAGGAGGAGCGGATACCACACTAAAAATAAAAAACCACACGTCAATGTGGGGAAAAAGTTTTTGGCTGTGGGTTCATGACTGAAAATGAATAGACCTCAAGACTCGAAAATCCGATATATTCCCAAATGGTGAGTTATAGCTTTGCCCAAAAGTGGTCTTTGGCATTTGATCAGCCAGGAGTTGTGGGGGGGGGGCTGTATAACTAAGGATGTAAACCTCCCATGGTTTGATGAGGTGGTGACCCGCCAAGGTCGTGGAGGAACAACTGTAGAGGTGGATACTGCTCAAATGAAGATCTTGGCCACGTCTTTGACACCAAGGAGCTTTTGAAGCAAAAGACTGTCCTAAGCCCAAGCCAAACAAAGGATCTTCTTGGATGGTTGGGGGTTGGGATTTTCTTGGACTCAAGCGACGTGGATGGCATGAATGCAGGATGGAGGCTCGTCATGTACAATGTCGATGCAACAGCATCTGACGTCTTTATGTATTTCTATATATTCTCTGTAGACGTGCATCTAAATAATTTCCGAGACAGTCTTGGTCTTTTTGGGGGGGTTGACTTGGGTTGCGGCATTTAAGAGGAGGAAGCACGGAAAGAGAACTGCAGAGGGACAGTTCAAAATGGTTTCGGGGATAAGTTTTCCTATGCCACTGGTCCCACCCTTTTGAGCAGCTCTAATACTGAAGAAAATGGATGTGAGTAGGCATCTAAAGACTGCACCAAATACTTCGTTGTGGATATCCTGGAGCCAAAAGTAGCGCAGGGGAAATCTACTGGAAACAAATCAGCGCTGCTCAAAAATAGTAAAAACATGAATGAGGAGAGAGCAAGAATCACCTACAAAAACTTGTGCTAGGAAGCCTCATTGATTGAATATCACTTGGTACCCCTTGTCAACAACTTTCCCTAACCCCGGTGGCAAAGAAAAAGAAAGAACCCAAACCCATGAGCCTGCCACTGCTGCCAATTGCTGCACACCAGCCGACGCCTATGAGGGTCCAGTACATGAGGTCATGCCGCGATAGAAAAGTCATCCTCTCTACCTAGACTGTGCTTGTATACATATACATATATATATATATATTATACGATATAGCAATGATTTCACCGTTTGAAGGAAGACGTGCTGAAAACATATGACAAGTACGTGTTTCAAGTGGACGTTCGATTCGATGGACTCTCTGTTCGGATTTGGGGGTTCACGACATGCATGGCATGTCTATTATGTATAATGTAATATAAAATACTACAAATACTGACTTCTTTTGTCATGTGTTTTTTCCACCAAGCCCCCGGCGGGAGCGTGAACGGGCTGATGTGTTGTGCTTTTCCCAACAAACCTAGCTTTGCCGCTTTGCTGCTCGCAAACCAAGGTCCATACCTGACCCCCCCTCCGCAATCAGACTCCACCTCAACCCCCGAACCAAAAACGCGGGCCCCAGGCCGTCATTGCGAGAGCATCAAGGCCGGTGGCAGGCACATGTTCCTGGACAAAAACCCTGTGTGGGGTCAAAACCAAAAGGCGAAACAAACCGAAACCGATGAAAAAGTGGACCAGTTTGGAGTTCAAGAGATTTATTTTATTAGATTTCACTTGATTTTTCATTCATTGCCATTGACATATTGCATGGAAAATGGACTTGTTCGAAGTTGCTGTTCCTCAAAAATGGGAGCACTTTCCAGGTAAACAACCAGTACAACGTTTGCAAGTTGGACACAACACAATGCAAAGCACATTTTGCATGCAAACCGTCGATGGTTAGTTTTGGGTCTTCCAGGCTAAACCTTTTGACGTGCTTTCCATGCAGTTGACGAGCGATTGCCATCCCAACTGTCACTCTCGACATCTCGAAGTGTCAACTCGTTTGACGCTCTAATCTTAATCAAAGGCAACTCGTTTAGATGGGCGGGCGCTCATATAACTCAAGTGCATGTGCCGCAGAAGGTGACCCACCATTACGCCACCCCCTACATAAGATCCCTACCAAAGCGTCCGCTGATTCTGGCTTTCATCAAGCTGGACCAAAAGCAAAGTTAACAAAGCTGAAAGTTCCCTACCGAAACGAAACCTCCGTCTCCTCAGCTGCCGCGAACGCGCGAGCGACGTGAGTTGGGGCGGTCGGTCCATGAGTGCTGCAAAGCGGGAGGATCGATACCTGCAGCCCGGTCGTAGGTGTGTATGTCCTGATTGTCCTATATAAGATACGAATGTGACAAATGCAAGCTGATGTTTGAAAGTGAATGAACTGCAGGTGTCTTTTGCTGTGCTTGAAATGACCTGAGATCGCTCCAAACACCAGGCATGAAAAAGAAGGCTCCAAATCCCGGGATGATATGAACATATATATATATATATACGCTACCCCCCCAAGTACCCCCGTTTTTCTTTAAGTGCAGATAGACCAGATGACTGCATTTTCATGTTACAGCAAAAAGACACTTGCATATGTATTGCGTAGGATGCCCAAGATGACAGCAGACGATACACTTACAGTTGCATGCTAAAGCTTACCAGATGACAGCAGACGATACACTTACAGTTGCATGCTAAAGCTTGCGACTTGTTACTTGAGAAGCCTCCTGAGAAGCAGACGCAAGAGAAGTCCCATTTGTTACTTGACAAGCAGACACAGCCAGCACAGACTTTTTCAATCCCTGATCGAAGGTGCTTCACTCAACTGGTTTGACAAACTTTTGTGTCAACCATGCGCAGAGGTCACCGGAAGCCACCCACAGATCCTTATTCCGATTCCAGTACTCATACTGGATGGACCGGATCTGCTCCCAGAGCCTCACTGAGCCTGCCTTGGAATGTTGGTTCAAAGCCAGGCGAGACTTAAAGAACCGCCAAACACGATCAATGATTTGGGTGCCTGCCTTCACCTTGATGACTTTCCCTGAATCTGGCAACTTGTGTTTGCGCAGAGACACATATTTGGGAGCCATCCACACCCATTTGCCCTTGACCTTGACGCGCTTTTTACAATGCACTACATGGTCATGGACAACCATAGGCAGACGAAGCTTATAGCTTCGAGCTGAATCAGTGTGGAAAATCAATTTCCTACCGCTCAGATGCTTTTCAGCAATCGGCTGCCACTCGTGCTTGCGAATGGCGCCGGGACCAGGCGCCCGTGGCTCTGTCAGTTCAGGACGTAGACGGTGCAAAATCAAAGTGTCCGGTTGCCCCCTTTGCACCATTCCAACCCACTGCTCCCACTCCATGAGATTCTTGCCATCCTTCTTCACCGGCTTCTTGTCAAAGGTGGTCTCATCTCCCTCCACATCTACCCACGTCTTGCAATTTCCAAAGGCCTTTTTTTTTCAGTTGCCTCCACATACTTTTTCCTTCCAGCTGCCAGCTTCGAGCGCATGTCCTGAATGGCTTTGTGGTTGACACGCAAGGCATTGTGAATGACTCCATTGGAAACCTTGTTGAGGAGGAGAAAGAGCAAAGCACTCTGAATCTGGAGTGGATGACCTTCAGGCCCTTTGCATTCAGTGAAGAGAGGGTGCAAGTAATGTGGATGTTTTGGAACTAAGAACTAAGAACTAAGATTTCCCCACACTCTCCCACAGCAATCTTAATTCCAGAAAACATTGCCATACAATAGTTTCAAAAAAGTTTTAAAAGTTTTAAAACTTTCTGGAAGTAAGAACTAAGAACTAAGATTCCCCCAGACTCTCCAACAGCATTCTTAGTTCTTAGTTCTTAGTTCCCAAAAGCTTTAAAACTTTTAACACTTTTTTGAAACTTTCTTGACCTTCAGATGTGGGAAGTAAGACTTGTCCCCAAGAGTTCTGTGCATTCTTAGTTCTTAGTTCCCAAAAGTTTTAAAACGTTTAAAACTTTTTTGAAACTTTCTTGACCTTCAGATGTGGGAAGTAAGACTTGTCCCCAAGAGTTCAAACAATATATATGGTACCCCCCCTGCACATCTGACACCAAGACATGAAACATGTCTTTACCTCCAAGTTTAGTGTGAACCACACAGAAATGGGTACATGCGGGGGGGTACCATATATATATATATGAACTATTCTGGAGTTGTTCAGAGAAAAGAGATAAAAGAGTATCCTTTTTCAAACTGACGTCCGCCCATGACGAGAACTTGGTCGGTCCATCACTTGGAAATGACTAGAAAACGCCAGGCTGGTCTCCTGACCAAGAAGTTTGCGGCTTACACTCCCTGAATCATGGAAGTGGAAAACCACCGGTTTGTACAGGAAAATGGTCATCCAAGGGCCATGCCAAACCATGGTACTTCCAGGGAGTGTACTCGGCAAAATGACATCACGGATCTTCTGTGGAGATTAAGATCTCACACATCCTCAACCCCCCATGTGCCCTTGGGGAGACTGCCGGTCTGACCAACTGGCCGTTCGGAAGGCAGCAGAACTCCCCATCTCTATCCTTAGTCAACTCACGCCATTGTGAGGATAGTATCCAGGACCTTCCAAGTCTGGTGGTTTTGGACACCCCATAAATTCACCTCTTTACGAGGCGCCTCTTGCAGGCACCTCTTGGTACCTGCCTTTTGACTCCCTCGTCAGCGACAAGAACGACTGCTGTCGCCTCCGAAGGTTCTCCAGTGCCGGATCACTGCGTGCCTGACCCAGTTGGCTACAGCCATGGGCAATGGCAGACCTCGTTGCGGCGCGATGCACGAGGTAGTCCGAGACAGGGCCACTGTGACGCCTGGTAGTCTCAGACCACTGCACGCTCGAGCGGGAAGATGGATCTCTCTCCAAACGACCGTGGTCCGACCGAAAAAGCCACGCGACAAAAGACCAAACAGGCCACCGTTGTCCTTGATATCAGAAAGCCGCATAGATCATCGAACACTTAACCTTGAAAGGGAGCCGACTTGTCGCAAGGCTATGCCAGGCTCCCCACTCCAACATCGCGATGCCCAGATCTAGCCGCTCCTGCTCGAATGCTCAAGCCCAAAAATCGGAACTCTTCTGGTGCCCAACTCTTCATCTGGTTCCCAGGCACTCTACAGGTGAAGTTGGAGTGATACCCATTTATACCCTATAGAAGTCAATCCTAATGATTTTGCCCCAAAGTTTTCAGAAAAATCCTTGTTCGGGTCATCTATCAAGAGCATCTTTCAAGGCTTGGACTTGTGTTGGGTCTGATTGGACTGTCTGGAGCGAAAGCCGACCTGCGGGGCTGTTGTATCTCACACTCTTCGACACTCCGACCGACCGAAGCTGACCTGGAGAACCTCCACGCCCGAACAAGCTCATAACGTCCGTCAGAGTGAGTAAATATGTGGTATGACACCAGTGAAAAAAGGAACAAAACTACAGCAAGCACGCGGCACGACGGAAGGCCATCGCGTTTTTAGGTTGGAGGTCATCGCTACGAATGGAACAAGGACGCTACTAGAAAGAGAATGTATCTTTCTTTTTCCTTTACTAAATCTGACCAGTAGCGGCATGAGAAGAGATGAGAAGAGTGCCCCGAGTGCCCCGCCGTTGACCAACACCTTTGGAATCTGAACCCCGAATGAGGACCCATGTCCATCAAAACCGCTCGTCAAACCACTCGAGATGAAAATTCATCGGCAGCGTGGCTTAGACTGACCTTACACTAGCGCAGTTCTGAACTGAACCACCCAATCGGCTCCTCTCGGGTGGCGGGCACCCCGGACTCAAAGCATATGCGGTCTGCGGCCAAGGATAAGCTTCGGGCCATTCCACGAAAGGCGTCACCTGGCACCGAGTACGTCTTGGACTGATTCAGCCAAGGGGTAAGAGACGGCTCTTTTGGAGAAAGGTAGCTTCTTGTTCCTAATAGCGATGGCCTCCAACCTACTTACTTGCGATGGCCTCCACCGAGCATAGCGTCCGAACGCTACTAGGGTCCTGGTGAAACGACGGTCGGATGTCTCCGGTGCCTGAGCGGCGCCGCTTCGTGAGGAAGTCGGTTGGCTTCCGAACAAGGAGTCCCTTTGCGAAACGAATCAACCCTGTGCAAGTATAGCCAACCCAGATCAGAAAAGGACGAGAACCTGCCATCGTGAAGATCTCCTCTGGAACTCCCTTCCTTTTCAGCGGGCTTTTCAAAACAAAAGAAACAAGAAACATCAAGAAACCTTCTTCCATTCATCCATCAGATGATCTTTGGATCCAACTGCAGAAGCCTCACCTCGCCTGATTTGCTTCCGGTGACCTCTTCATGCCGACTATTGGCATCACAGTACTTGAGATAGGCCTGCGTCCCCGCCCGAGTCCCTACGATGGCCGAAGGCGGCACAGGGACCTTGTGTCTGATCCTGGAGCGGATAGAAGATATAACGATATTTAATATATAAAACAATCATTGTAAAGACGAGGCAAGACTTCAAAAACACTTGTGCATCTAACCTATATATGTCTAATTGAAGTCTAAAAATAGACTGAAATAATCTGATAATATGACTCTATGACTATCAATATCTACCAATGATAGTCATATAGACGATAGTCAATTCAGTCGTCTAACAACACCACCCGCCGCATCACCCGGGTCAGAACGACCTTCTAGGTTGAACATGGTTGAACCATCTTTGGACACTGAGAACGGCGGTTTTGTTTCAGAACGGGTGCTCCTGGGAGATGTGTTTCATGCAAAAAATGATACAAAAACACTGTGTTTTACAGTGATTTCTTGCAAAATCCTCTCCAAAATTGAGGTGTTGAGCTATTTTTTGATCAATTTTGTGAGATCCAAGCCTATCCCAATTTAGAGGGAATACCAAAAAACCAAAAAACCAATAAACCAAAAAAACAAAAAAACAATAAACCAAACAAAACAAAAACAAAACAAAAAAAAAAATGTTTGACACAAAATGCAGCCAACATCCAAAAACCAATAGTGACCCCATTTTGTCTCAAACATTGTTTTTTTGTTTTTTTTGTTTTTTTTAGTTTTTTGGTTTTTTGGTATTCCCTCTAAATTGGGATAGGCTTGGATCTCACAAAATTGCTCAAAAAATAGCTCAAAACCTCAATTTTGGAGAGGATTTTTCAAGAAATCACTGTAAAACACAGTGCTTTTGCTTCATTTAAGTTTAACGGTGGAATTTGATGTTAAATTGGATTTCAATTGATTTTGGTATTAGACTTCAATTAAAACGCTTTCAGAATTATTGGTGGAAGTTGATTTATCATTAGCTCTCTATTAAAAATGTGTTTCAGATTAAGTGTAGATTGTTTACAAACTAAGTTTCATTTATATCATTGTCAAAATCATTGGGGAAATTGATGTTTATATTAGATTTCAATTAACATTTCTTCAAGATTAATCATAGAAAAATGAATGTGTAATTCAACTTCGATTAAATGCCTTTTCAAGATCATTGTGGCAATTGATTTTGAATTAGATTTCAATTAAAATCCTATTATATTTCATTCTAGAAATTAGGCATTACTTAAATGTCAATTAATGTCCTTTTCAAAATCATTGTGGAAATTGCTTGTTGTTCAGATTTTAATTTGAGTTCTTTTCAACATTATTTGATTGAATTGCTTGTGTATTGGATATCAATCAAGACCCTTTTAGAATTGATTGTGAAAATTAACGTTCAGTTAAGAGTTAATGGTGGAAATCAATTCTTATAATTAGATGTTAGTTAAAGTCCTTTTATTTGATGTAGCCTTGTAGTGGGGAGCAAACAGATACAAAATCAATTCAAGTTAGTTAAGCATCACAATTTCCACAATTGATCTTAAATCGATTTTAAACACAATCTGATATTAAATCAAAGCCACCACTAACTTTGAAAAGGACTTTGACTAAAATCTAATTGTAAGAACTAGTTTCCACAATGAGTTTTAAAGAGAACTTGGAAATAATTTTTATTGCAATCTAATATCTAATAAATAGCAAATTCCACAATCAATGTTAAAAGGATCGTGATTGAAATCTTCTAATTTGAGTTTGCCTAATTCTATTTTAATTCCAGTTTAGTTAGTTTAAGAACACACATGTTACAAAACCCTATATTTTACAGTGTTTTTTGCCCTAGGAGTGCTGGGAATAAGACACAAACTATGTTTTTGAGTAGATAGTATTTGTTTAAAGTAATCCCTTGGAATATTCATTGCTATATTAAAACTGCTTTATGTACAAACTTCTAATTCAAAAGGTTCCCTCTAGATCTGATCACTTCTGTGAAAAATATAAAGATTTCATTTCAAAAGCTTTCCTCTGGATCTCTGGAAATAGTCATGGTATTTTAAAAAAGCTATAAGTATGTATGTAAGTGTTTCTTTCAAATGCTTTCCTTCAATGAAAATACACAAATCTAGGAAATCTACTTTCCCAGAGATCCAGAGGAAAGCTATTGAATCTAGAGATGTATAGTATTATATCTTCATTCGCTCATGATGCTACATTCATTGTGGGCAGAGAGAGATTTACATGATAATATTTATCATTGGTGTTGCACATTGATAGTGGGCAGACGAAGAGCTGTTATTTGTTGTCATTGACATTGGACATGGAGACTGGGCACAGACAGATCCAAAAAATTGCGTTTCGCCTAGTTCTCAGAGCAGTTTTTGAAATTTTGCTCGGTATTTACAGTGTTTTCTAAGGGTTTTGAGCTAGTGTGTGCTCTCCCAAGCACACCCACCCTCTTTTGTTTCATACGCTTTTGTGGCTAGAAAGCCTGGTCCGCCAATGGGTCGCGAGGCATTTCCCAAGAGGGCACGAGCCACTTTCGAGCAAAGGGCCTTTTCCGTCCTAGAGCATGCGCACCTCAAAAAAGAGTCCGTGCCATTTTGCCTGTTTCAGGATATCCAGCCTTTAGATGCCTTGAGATAAACCAAGCATAAGGACTGTCCATCACCCGGTCAACTCAAAGTCGAGCTCCGCGCTTTTTGCGCAAAGCGCTCGAAGCCGCCTGACCCGGGGCGTCCAACAAGTAGAGGTCGCCCTGCTGCATGAGGCGTTGGAAGATCTGCAGCACCTGACAAAGAGTTGGCTTTCTAGGAAAAGACCTGGGTCTCCAGGAGCAAAGGACTTCCATATTGTGGAGACCTGGATGCCTGGATTGCGGACACATCTCGCTTTACCAAACCTCCTGTGGCTCATAAGCCTTAGGAAACCAAAGAGAAGCAGCTCCTCACAGACTTTTCGCCGGGTTCCCCTGCTGTGGGGGTCAAAGCTCATCTTCCAACAGATTCCTTTTCAGTTGAAGAAACAACAACCAGTTTGTTCACGTTCTTGTGGTGCAGGCTGATGTTTATCCCTTCAGCCCTCTGAAGAACCCTCATCTATCTTTATGTCCATCTTTCTTCGATGTACGTCACTGGGGGAGAATTCACTTGGACATGGCAAACTCTTGCAAACATGGTCTCAGCTTTCGTTGGTGTCGTGTCTACGAGTCTACACCGCCTCCAAAGACTGTGGCGAATTTCCCAAGAAGAGAAGAACCACCGGGAGCTATAGTTACCCTTTGGGTATATAAGGAAGAACATGGGAGAACGGACAAAACACGCAGTCAAACAGAGACATGGCACAGGGGCCAAACATGATGGAGTTGCCTGAGCAGAAAGGAGGTCTATTGGGTTGGCAACAAAAGGGCACCTCCATGTAATTAGACCATCTTTGCCTACATTGGGGTGGTTTGGGGAGTTAACACTGTTCTCTGTACAACCACCGGCGCCGGTGAAAGTACGACCTCCCAAACCACTGGGTGGTTGTAATGGAACAATGGTCGAAACGACGGGTGAATTCTCAGGGTTACTTCGAATCGTCTGCGGGGGCGTTTCATATTGGATCGTTTTTGCTCAAGCGTTCAAAGGTTCCGTGCGAAGAAGAAAGAAACAGTTAAAACAACTCAGATGTCAACTTCCAATCTTGGAATTTCTCCAAAACCGCCCGCTGCCTTTGACCTTTTGTTCACTCGCACGCGGTCGGCGTTCTCCTAATGGACGTCTTCTGCATTCTCCACAGGAGAACATCGGGAGATCGGGCCCACTCCGGACACAGACGGGCGACCTGAATCACAGACTGGGGATGGGCTTGAAAGGAGATATGGAAAACGGCCCTTCAAGTTAGTTGGGGGTTGATCTGTTAGTTCTTAAGTCAGTGTTGAAATTTGAGCCTTTTTTTTTGCAATCATGAAGCAAATTGAAGCAATCAGCGAGGATTTGGGGGGGACATGTAGGCGTACTCAGACCCGATGGCCAAAAAGGCTTGCCCTAACAAGGGACCTTTGACGGTAGCAAGACACAGAGATTGTGTTCGCATGCTTTCGCCGGGGTCAAGATTGATCGGGTGGAAGCTACCGACATCTTCATCTTTTCGGTTGTCGCAAAAGTTTGGGGATCTGACGCCAAAAGGGACTGACCCAAAAGGAGAAAAAGGGATTGACCCTTTGGCACCTAGCATTCATGCAGCCCAAAAAACGCTGGCTACTTGTCCCACGTGCCAGCCTGCTTCCACCGTCCCAGGTTCCTAAAGATTCAGCCACTGAGCTCAGGTGCCCGTGACCTCGGGAGGCCTCAGGTGCTGAAAACTTCAACTCTGCCAGCTTGTCTCTGTGAACCCCCTCTCCTGACAGCTTCGCGGAGTGTCAAACTCCTCTCCCGGTGCAGATCTCGACGGTTTGCCGGTGACGAAGCGGCGGAGCGCCCAGGCGTCCCCAGGGCTTCGCGAACCGCACGATTGATCGTCGGCGAAGCGAGATTGACCACTGACGATGTGATGCAAACGATACGAGCTTGGCCAAAGATGTTCCATTCAATTTCATTAACTAGGACCGAGGACAAACTATGATAAACGATTTTTCACTAGGAGCATCTAGCAGCTGGAAGCCAGTTTTTGAAGAAGTAGCTGCACCATTTTTGTGGATCCTTTCCGGAGCGAAATCCGATCAAAGCACAGTTCTTGTTGATGTGGGAAACTCCCCTGGAACCTCTTCTGTACTCTTTGTGTAGTGATGAACGATGCATGGACAGAACTCGCATCGACACATTCAAAAACGCGGGATGCTGCAGGTGATTTCGAGCGGCTTCGACTGTGGAAGGCTTTTCTCATTCCTTTGTGGGACCCAATGTCCGTTTGGGATCTTGAGGAAGATGTAAGAGTGTGCTGCCATGATCTTTGGAGCGCTTGGGCGTCATAGTATTAAACCCGAGTGACTCAACAGAAGGCTTAAAACCTTTGAAGGCCCCTAGTGGCCGTCACGTGACCTAGTGTTGTTGGTTCATGTTCATTCGCTAAGCCGCTCAGCGACTGCTAGGCGATACATATGCCGTCTCTCGGTCTCTCAAGTGGGACTGAAGATGCTGAAGCATGGAGAACGAGGCCACAACAACGCCTCTGTTGGTAGACACGCCATTGTGTGGCAACTTTTTGCAAAGGACGGTTTGTCTCACAATCATCCTCCACGCATGAATGGTCGACACCGTATGAGGACACCTCCCAGAATCTAATCAAACCGTTAACGGTTATTGGTAAGGCCTTCCTGAGCCAGTCAGCAAAGGTACATGCCTTCGAGTCCAAGAGGAAACACCTGAAGTATTCAAATGTAGCCCAGGCAGGGCGTCCAAAACTCGATATCCTGGTCCAAACGATCCGCCCACCATCGATCGGTCAAGAGATCCAGGTACTCAGAAATACTCCAAAACGTAGTTATATAGTGTTATATTACATAGTGTTTTACATATATATATATATGTTATATGTACTGTTATATATATATATATATTACATGGATCTACATAGTTGTTCGCATGTGTGCCATGTTTCTATGAGTTTCAGAAAGAGCCTTTTTCATGCAAAATGGGATCGTGTTGTTGAGTATTCCATTGTTCCACGGATGACATGACGGGTGAGGAATCTGTGACAGAATCGAACATCGAACATTGAACGAAACGGTGAAGGTACAGCTCAGCAAAGCCTAGCAAAGCTATATCAGTTCCTTTGTTGTCGCATCTTCTTGGGTGGAATCGGACAACTGTTTGGTTCAGGACCACGTCTATCTGATCCTTCGCATCGGAATGGCTCCAGACTTGAAGTTTAACTTTTGATGATCGCATTGACAAGGTGTTGCCATACTTGGGTGACTACAGCTTCAAGAACTACAATCAGTGAACTAGTATGCTGCAATACAGCTGCCTTGGGGAGGTGCAGTTGGTCTGAGGGAGAAACAACCGTCTTCCGAGTCTTCCCTCCCTGATGCACTCCTGACACGAAACCTCTGGAAACCTCTGGAACTAAATATGCAGGAGGCCATCGCTACTAGGTTCGAGGCCATCGCTGGTGGGTTGGAGGTCATCGCTATCAGGTTGGAGGGCCATTGCTATTGAGTAATGAGAAAAAGATGGTCCAACATAGACCAACAACGAGACCAAATGAGAACCACAGTGCTACGCCGCTACGACTGGAAGGGTCACAACTAAAATGCACAGGTTCTCCGATTAATTTCAGGGATTCATGCGTGAGTGTGTGGGCTAAAACCTAGCCCTACAAACCATGGAAGTTTGACATCCCTTATATAATTATAGACATTGAAATCTGTTCATCTTCAGGATCAACCAGGGTTCCGGGGTTTTGACCCACACACATGTTACAGCCATGTTGCAATCCTGAGCCTCACACCGTGGCCCTGCTACCGCCCATGAAACACTTGAAACCGGTCAACTCCGAAGGCTCAGCATGCCGGAATGCAGAGCATGCCGGTGCTCATGTAAACGGTTGTTGAAAATAAAATGTGTGAAGAATTGTGAAGAGGTCTCTGAGCGCATCCAAATGGGGGGGGTTACTGATCGAGATTCTATATACATGAGTGTTCATCCAAAACACAACTTTCATGCCATCCCGTTGTGGAAGGTCCGCGCCCAGAGCAAAAGAGGGAAAGCTGGCTTGGGCCCACAATCCGCAGCTTTTTTTATCAGCGGCTGCAGGAGTGACTGACGCCAAACCCGAAGCTGTTCTGTGTTGGGTTGCTCGAAATCCGCTGCTGTTCCAGTGATGAAGAAGCTCTCAAAAGCAAGGCTTGAATCATCCACTCTAGACTTTAGCTATTGTCCTATGTTCATCGATGTACAGTATATATATGTTGTTTATCTACCAAGCTCCACATGAGCGTGTCCCTTGAGGATATTGTTGAAGACTGACAAAAAACATCAGATCGAGCTGCAGTACATCCCCAGCTGTTCAGCATAATTCTTCGTGCTTGAGTCTGATTTGCAAAGATCTAGCTCAAGATGCCACACCCAAACACCGTTGATCGATTGTTTTGCGTCCGGTACGACCTTGAAATCACTCAAGTCAGCTCTGAACCCCGAAGGTCCTGAGAAACATCAGCTCACGTGTTCACGTCGGCCACAGATCCCCATGCGACGAAAATACAGACTATACTGGTGGGATTTCCGTCCGTTCATCCCCATCAGGAACTGAGTGGCAGTTTCTATTGTCTGGAGTCGGAAGCGGATAGTCCAAAATGCAACTAGACTTGGATCTACGAAAACCACGACAATGAAAAATGTCTTCATAAGTTCCTCTGCAATTGATGCATTTAGCTTTTGTCTGCGTTCCCTCCAGCAAGGATCAAGAAACTGCCCACTGGACTGCACGTCAGGCGAAAAGGCATTGGCTGTTGACAATCAGGGCCAACATGACAAGGATGAGTCATGATCAGTCCTACCAACCCGTGAAAAAATATCTACGTTTGATTCAACCTGAAAGGATCACCCAAAAAGATCCTGTTCATAGACCATGATTGGGAGGTGCTTTTGGAACAAAATCACTTTCTGGAGTGACATCGCGAATCTTCGATCTTCGCGTTATTTTGTCTTCCTGGTGTACACTCCCTGAAATCGGATGGTACCACCTGTTGTCATTCGGATTTCATGGCCTCCAACCTACTAGCGATGGCCTCCAAGCTAATAGCGATAGCATCCAACCTAATAGCGATGGCCTCCAACCAAATAGCGATGGCCTCCAACCTACTAGCCG